CTTCTTTAGTAGCTGAAAACTTTATTATTCTCAAACTTGTAGAGGGGCTCTTATAATTTTGGAAACCCCTGTAGTATAAAGATATATAATTTTGAAATAGATGACAAATTCTTGCCTAGATTTATGAACAGAAAAGACTTATGTAATGATAATAAGTGGATAGTGAGAGTTTATTATTCTACACTTAATTTTTACGTTGTAAGATTGGATAACTCTGCATATTTCTTTTTTAAAAGATAATATGGCGATGGATAACTATTCCTATTATCAATATTCCACAGTTCGCTATGCATATAATCAGAACGAGTATTTTCTATTCCATTTCTTTCAAACAAATTCCATCTATATACATTTTGATTGATGATGTAAAAGGTATTTTAGGAATTGTCTTCAATAACTTATTATCTATATTGTTTGTTTTTATTTCATCATTTCTTATATTAATCATTTTTAAGTTGATCTTGACATGAAGATTTAATCAGAAGTAAATTATAAGTTTCTAAAACGATGGAATATGAATATGAATATAAAATAAAATTCATAATTTTCTCAGGATTCTATTTTCATACTTCTATTCATATTACAAAAATAAATCATATCCACTATTCAATTTCAACAGAAATATCGAATTACTTTCTTAAATTTGATAATACCTTTTGTGTTTATTTGTAGGATATCTATTAACTTACCAACGAATGATAATCCAACTCTTATACCAACGATACCATCAATTAATAATGAATCAACCAAGACTGAATCTTCTGATCTAAATTTTCAAACAGATATCAATTCTGTTGGCAGAGATTTTGCTCCAATTTTCTTTATTCTAGCAATAATATTTGTTCTTATACTTCTTGGATTTATAAACATATTACACAATCATTATTTATATCCAAGGAATAATAATAATAATCTATTTCATAGTGGAAGACGTAATAATAATTCTGTTTATTCTCAATTAACATCTACAAATGATTTTGATCTAAATTAAAACTATTATTATATCCTTTTTTTTTTTTTTTTTGTTTGTATTTATTTCTCTTCTATTTATTGAAATTTTATGAATAATAATCTTCGTTTAAAATGAAGATTTTTTCAATGTTTTTTTTTTTTGCTCTGATTTTGTGAACAGATCAAACAATTTATTCGATTCTTTCCACTTGTCATGTAGGTTTGCACAATACTAATAGAAAAAATGTGACAGACAACTTGTGAAAAAAAAAAATCAATAGTATAGTAAAGAGAAAAAGAACGAACAAACGAATTTCTTATAAACACGAATTTTCTTTCGTTGTTGACAACATATAGTATTTTACTTTCTTTTTTTTTTTTTTTTACATCGTCTCAATTGCAGATCACCAATTTACCTTGATTTAACCGCCTTTGAAAACAGCGATACCGACTGTTATACGTGCCTGTGCATATCAAATCAAATATCTAATCCAAACATTATTTTAATTTTTTTTTTTTGTAGTAGAAAAAAAAGAGGAAGCCAATAATACAATAACCAAGTGAAATTTGATTTTATTTGTTTTGCATTTATAAATTAATATTATATAATGAAATTATTTTGGTTTGATTTTTAAAATTCCAAAAATACAATGAATCGTGGTCTTATAGTTATTCGTTATCGAAAAGCCACACATATTGGTTTAACAAGTTCATGTACTTGTGTCTTGGTACAAATTTTTTATTTAACCAACGTTAGTCGATATTTAAAATAGATTTTTAATTCTTAATTTGATTTCATTTTAATAATTCTCAAATTTCATAACAACAAAGTAAAACTGGCTAATCATCACCAAGATGAATGGGTAATCATTGAAGATGAAGTAGAAGAACAAAAAGGTAAAAAAATTATAAATATGCATAATTTTGAATGTCATGATTATGTAATAGAATAGAATGAACTGCATTCATTTTAGTCTCTTTTGGAGTTCTTTTGATAATAATTGTTTTTTATATGCAAATGAAAATTTCCTAATATAACTCTCACACATACTCAAGAAAAAAAGAAACATAAAATGTTCAATCTACACTTGAAAATGTATTTTATTCCTTCTTTTTTTTTTCTTATAAATGCAATCGACAAAAGAAAAACCTAGATGACAACTTCAATTTTGTCAGAATATTAAAGTTTTTTTTTTTTTTTTTTTATGTAATTTCTATTCAGATATTTGTCAAAACTGTTGAAAGAATAGATTATACTTTATCAGTATATGAAGGTGTCAATCACCGGATTAATCTTCGAAGAACAAATATGTTGTAAGATATGTTTATAAGTTGTACTAGAAGATCAATCGATAAAACAAAAAAAAGAAAAGGGTAAAAGTACTAGACAGACATACATATGTATAATACATAAGGATTAGATCGGATCAAGATAGACGAGAAGAAAGAAAATAAATTGAACAATAAAAAATACAGAAGTGCCAATGATTTATGAAGACTATATCATCTTTCATCTTTGTCTAGAAAGAAGCCATTTGAAAGTAACCTTCTCTATTAATAAAGATTTTCACTTACTTATTAAAGTAATATTAATATACTATAGAACAATAACACAGTCTTGATCTTTATGTTATTATATGTTCTTGTTAGTTTATTGATATAAGCTTTAAATGCTATTGAGTGTGAAATTTTTCTCGTTGTTTTGACGTTTTTCTTCAAGGATTGTCCTTATATATATATATATAAGATTTAATATAAGAAATATTACCTTCAATTAATGTATATTAGAAAGTATGAAGGTTTAATCAAATATTTATAATTGTTCTTACCTTGTCTTTAACTACTGACATATTAAGGTTTTGTTTCGTTTTGTCACAATATTAAGAAAACTAATTTTGTCAAAAATCGAATCAATATTTTTTTTTTGCATTGATGCATATAGAGTAATTACATATTATTCCTATAGAATAGTAACGTATATTATTCTAATAGATTTTATACAATAAATATATTTTAGAGGTACATTCAATTATTTTTAAAAGAATTGTTATCAGAATAACCTGCGGAGTTTTTGTATCAACAAACGAGTAGTAAATCATTAATGAGATGAATAATCATTTCTATATCTATATGTGTTCATATCATATTTCTTTTACCTTACTGAAATAATAGAATGATAACAAGTAGAATAATCCATCGTTCACTATGATATGAAGAAACAACAGGAGGTATTATACACAGTCTACATTATCGTAACATTAGCAGCAAAAAAAATAATTTATAATGGAAAGAACTGGCATCGATATGTATATCGTGTAACAGCGACAAGAAAACAAGTTTCATCTGCTTTCTTTTCATGCATGTGTGCCTATGTATATATATATAGACCTTAGTCTATTGACATGTTGATCCTGACACGTTTGATGCTCAATGCATTAATACGTTATGTTCTCTCCGTTTTTCTCTCCTTCTCTCTTTTGTTCTTATCTTTCAGATCAGATAACGCTCTATTGCTTCTCCATTTTTTTTCCATTGTTCTATGATATATTGCTATATAACCGATTAGTGCAGGTGACAAGCTCATCATATATTGATCTAGAACAAACATGATTTAACGTCCGGATTTCACTTCAAAATCGATATTAGATAAGATGAATGTTACAGGTAAATAAAACTCAATGTGTTTTTTTTTTCTATATCGAGTGTTAATTCAAATTAATGAATACATGACGATGTACAAGGTTTCAATGAGACGAATCGTATAGTTTATGATTTTTTTCCAGTGTGTCATATAACACAATACACGGAAATCATGACGAGAGCAAGTACATAACTAAACTGAGTACCTACGTGTGTGTTCTCTCTCTCTCTTGGTTGTCTATAAAGAGTACCAAGTATATATATATATATGTCACGGAGAATGTTCATTTTATAATTCTCAATCACATATTTTTTTTTCATATACGTAGTCAATTACTATTAAAACATTTTTGCAAATCATATTCTTTTTCGTCCTTCATTCTTCTTCGCAGAGATGTCGTAGTACGGTAAAAGAAGCAAAAAAAAGCACAATTGCTAATGGTTGATGACCTCGTATAAAGTGAAAGTGAAGGTATGTGTATGGGAAAGAAGAGGAAAAAAAGAGTCGTCAATATTTCTCTTTTTTAACAACACGTACGGACAATACTAATAAAAAAAAAAAAGAAGAAAAAAAAAAAAGAATAGAAATGAAATAAAAACATCAATTCTTTTCCACATATCATTGGGTACGTGGTGGCGACATTGATTATAAACAATGAATCGCATCGATGAAGAAAACGATTTTAATGATATTACGAAACTAATAATAGCAGGTGAGAAGAAAAATATTATATTAAAAACCTATAGAATCTATTCTTCTCTAATATTTATTTATTGATAAATATATAGTTGGAAACTAATTTGTACGGGGCGTCTTTTCGTTACAAATATTGTCTACGTTCTTCTTTTCTATATAACGATATAGTACTTGATGTGTCTATATATATATATATATATGATTGAACAGATGTTACAAAGACCTTTACTTTAGTCGATCAATATTCTTCTACTCAACAAGAACTACCTGTAGAATATAGTAGTCATAACATTTATTCAAGCAAATATTCCAATAACAAGAACGATCGTTCGAAATATCAAACAACAAATCGACCGACTTCTTTACCACCAGCAAAACATTATTCATCTATGAATGAAAATTTTGATGAAGATACAAAACAACGTCGACGATATGTAAGTGAATCAAATACAAATCATGATGAATATGATTCAAATTTACTTGTTACTTCATTTCTTCAATATTTACGTAATGAATTAAGAAAATCAACAAATGATAAAACAAATGATTTTGATCAACATACAAAACAGGTATAGAATAATCTATTTTTATTTATGAAAATCAGAATATAAAAAAATAAATTCTTATTTTTCAAGTCTTTGAATCAATAATAAAAGTTTTATCGAAATTATGTTAGCATTCTTTCTTATTTACTTTCAAAGTAAAAAAAAAAAAAAAAGCTGTTTCTCTTTTTTTTTTTGTTTGGTTTATTCATATTGTTCGTTCGTATATAATTAAATATTTCAATCGAAATAATCTTATAGTTGTTTTGCATTATAATACATATTAAATATATTCCTAGTAAATTAACAATTCTAATTTATGTAGAAATCATCGAAAAGTGCAATATCATCATCAATAAAAATATCACAATCGATTATAATGAATGCTCAATTAAAAGATGAAAATATATATGAAACAAATGATTATAATGAAATATTAACATTAATTAATTTACTTTGTTTACGTGTTGAATGTTTATCATATGAAAAAAAAATAAAAAAACGAAAAAAAAAAACAAAAAAAAAAAAAGATAAATATCCAAGTGTTACTGAAATTGATCAAAATTTAATTGAATATCTTTATTATCTTTTTAAAAAATTTATTTATAATGATACAAATATATCAAATGATTTTAAAACACCAATTATTGATAAAAATAATTTTGTTAGTATTTGTCAAACATTAGTACGTAATGGTTGTTTTGATATACCATCAACAACAATATCAAAATCACCAAATCAATCATTTTCAGAATCATTAAGTATAAGTGATAATACATTAATTTCACAAACAATTGTACATGAATATTATCATCCAGATACAAGTCAAATTTTAGAAGAAAAATCATTTACAAATGAACAAATTTCTTTAATGACATTACCTGAAAAAGATACTTGGCTTGTTGTAGATATTGAACCAATACAATCTGAAGAAACTTTAAAACCTTCTGAATACATGGTAAGTTTTATTAGAGGTCATTAGGTAGAAAATTTTCGAATTGTACTTTCATATTGTCAAAGATATTTTCTAATAGAAAATCGAATCACCATTCCTAAAATATGCAATACTGAGTCCAACTCGAATTATGATTTCAAGATCTCTAAAAAAAATTTAACATTGTCAGAACGATATTATTAATCAGTACAAAAAATTTCGAACGAAATAAAAAGCTCTCATATTTTTCTCCGACATTGTTTCACATACTTAAAAGTCTGACAAAAACAAAATAGTCAATGTTTTGATAAAGTTCGTTTTTTCTTTTTTGTTTTTTTGATGTTTGTAAACCTTTATTTTGTGTTCGCACACATCAAATAGAAACTTCTACGAACTATTAAAATCACTAACTAGATTCAAACTAATTGCTTAATATTATGGTAAAAAAAACTATATCAATATTAAACTTTCTTATTTAAATCAATCTCTTCTAGTTCTAATAGAAGTGTTGAAGTGTATAAGTTACAAAACTTACACCTATTTCCCTTCTACCCATCGACCATGGATAGATATCACCTTGGAAACTCATCATAGACCGTGACAGACATTAACCAGAGGCCAACACATACGTTCTTGATATATGATTATAGAATTTATGTCAATGACAGCTTCTTGCAATATATTAATGTTTCTTCTTGTCTTTCTGAAGGATTAAGTAATAGAAAGCTAAAGAGTTATATTCCAAGATATATAGAATAAAATAAAATCATTGTCATAAGCAACACCAACAGCTACATTGTATTTCATATATTAATCCCAGCGATATTGTACTAACAACTTTTATTTTTTACTATGTATGTAGACGAAATTTTATTTTATCTAGATAACTTTCTCTTACGAGGCAATCATTCGAATTGATATTCGCTACTTAAAACTCTCTTTTTTTTGCCTATAAGGATATATTAATAAAACTAATAGAAGCCTTAAGAAAAAGTAATATCCTGAAACTTTTGCCGAGAAATTGAAAAATAGTCGTTTTTAAAAATCGTAAAAATTTCATATTGAAATACTAGTTTTTTTCTTTTTCTTATTTTTCCTTGACGCGACTTCTAATTATTACTAGAAGCATTCTTGTCAAATAGTACAAGGTCAACCTGTCAATTTCTTTTTTTTTTTTTGTCGAGTTTCGTCGTCTGCTTTTGTCATTTCTCTATTAACAAAAATTCTATTAACTAAAAAGGATTCATCATCATCGTCATTTTGACGACTAGATTTTAATCTATTTTTTTTCTGTCCTCTAAAATCCTTTCATGCAAGCTTATTACTTCTACAGACAAGACCATGATATTAATAGTTTTCAAGCTATTAATAGAACTTTCATCATGTATTGTACGATTCTCTGATATGATATGCTTATATTACGATATAGGTCTTTATTTTGCCTTGCGTCATTGTTACCATATGACAAGGACCATTAGTATCAACACGAATGAGTTCAGTCATATATTGTGATTTGCTAATTGATACAATCTACGATACTACATAACACTAATAATAATGGCTTATTCAATTTGAATATCACAAATTGAATTATTACCTAATCCGTTTCTTCTTATCAGATAATAGAGTAAGTTTTATTATAATTTGATTCTAGCCCTTTGTATTTATTTAAGATTTACAATGTTAATCATATCTATATACAAGAATAAATTGATAAATTCTTATTAATGAAAACCAAAAAAAAGAAACTCAATTAATTCATATAGAATATCATCAAGGAGACAAAGTCTATTTTTAAGTTATAAATAAAAATTTTAGTTCTTCTTTTTTTCTTTGCTATTTATTTGTCGATAAAATGAAACCTTGATCAAACACATATGAAAAAAAAATTTTTTTTTTTTTTTCAAAATAAAATTATTTTAAATTTCAAGGATAATAATATTATATTTATATTAAAATTTATTAATATATATTAAAATATTTAACCATAAATATATAAATTACATCATTATGTTCGGGTTTCTTTTTGTTGATTGTCTTCATCGTCTTTGTCTAATAAATAACCTCGAATACAACCATTTGTAAAGCCTTGAGCATAGAATAGACGTAGATAATATTGACCTTTATATATATTCGAGAATAGTTTTCTCATCTATCATCATTATTTGATGACCATTATAGTGGAAGAATAACAATGAATATGTGTAAAACTTATTCATGCCTATTTAAATATGTTTGTTAATTATCAAGAAAAAATATTTCTCCTTTTTTCTTTTTTCTCTACTATGAACATATAAAATATTATTCATGTATATAAAAACATTTTGTCTCTTTCTATTCAAGTGTTCACTACCAAGATCAACAACAGATGAACAATTATTGATAACCAATGATGTTTATAAATCATGCGAATCTGGATCATCACATAGCATTTATTTATCACCAAATTCTTCGTCAATTGATTTACCAAATATGGTACTAGAATTCGATGAAATAAATCACCAATCTAATACATCATTCAATGAAGGTAAGCAATTTCTTTTTTATTATTTTATACAGATCAAATAACATGAAAAAAAAAGAATAAAAACGATATTGACGAATTCTATATCAATAGATGGATCATCATCGAATGTCATCAGTGAATCGAAAACAATAATAACCAATGATTTATCAAATGATGATATTCAATCTTTGTCTATAACAAGCAATACCATTTGCACAAGATTAACTAATGATACTAGTTCGATTGAAAATAGTGAACAGATGACAACAAATAATACTGATAAAATGTCTCGACGTGAAAAAAAAATGCACGAACGTTGGTCAACATCAAAAAAAACTGATGAAAATAATAATGAACAACCATCAACAAAAACAATATTAGGTATACAATTCCCGCCGATTGCTGTTCTTCGACGAAAATTTTCATCATCATCATCATCATCGTCATCAATCAATAAACAACAAAAAAATAAAACTGGTATAAATCCAAATGAAAAATTAAACGTAAATACATTTATGACAGTGAAGGTTAGTAAAGTTTCATGAAAAATTAATACAATGTAAACTTTTCGTAAAAAAATATGAAACATTTTCGATGAACAGATAAATTTAAGAATTAATTCTTAATAATAAATTCTAATTTATCAAGATGAAAGATGATGCAATTGAAGCTTAAAGTATACTAATAATAAAAAAGACAGTAGGGAAATCACTGCAGGAGTCGCATTTGCTTGTTATTGGCTTCAGTTATTGTATTTAACAAAAAAAAAATAATATGCTAATAGAATTGCTTCGAGAATTACAAAACAAATCCCATATGTAAAGAAACTCAAGTGCGATGAAATATATAGGAAATAGATCATCTAGGGAATTGGATTAGATTAAAATATGAAGATTTATGCGACATGAAGATGTTCTTGATAATCAATAAAACTTATTGAATGTATCAGTAAATTAAAGTAACAATGTGCTTTGATTGAGTGAATATTTTACATTGAAACCTTGAAAAATATGTAAGGTTTCCTAATTAAGTTATCGAAGTGATGTTTATCAAACAGTCGATTTATAAAATAGAGAGAGGATGATTTGATTGATTGTATTTCGATTTTTATCTCAATTTTTTTTTTCTTGTCTTTTTCTCTAATCGTCACAGTGTGAACTCAATGAAGTAATAAAAGTATAACTAATCATATTGTATCTGGTCAATATCAATCTCAAATAAGTATGACCACTAGATTATTTTAATTATTCATCCTTGAAAATCAGTGAATTTTTAAAATACAATAACCTCTAAAGTTTCCTTGACCGATTTTTCAATGGCAGTAGTTACATGTAGAGTTATTTGTTCAATAGCTGCTCTATACATTCATACAAAATAAGACTAGTACTTTAAACAAACGAAATACAGGTTTTTTTTTCTCTTCTTCTTCTTCTCTTGCTAATGTGATGATAAATAACATGTTTCAAAGTTCGAATGTATATTCAGCTGTATGTATTTTCTTTGATTATTTGTAGGAGATTAACACATTGCCAACGACAATCACAGTGGAACAAACGAATCTTGATCAAACAGTTGAATTACCATCGAAAGGTAAAATGAAAGAGAGCAAAAAATGACTGGAGAAAACATTTAAAAAAAAGAAAAAGAAAACAAAATCTCATTATTTTTTATTATTCATAACCAACAGAAAACAACGTGAGAATTAAAATTTTCATCATTACTAATCATTATTCCATTAAAAAAAAAAAACCTACGCATATACATAAATACATCCACTCCAACGCACACGAAAAAAAAATTGCAAGGTCAACAAAATCCTTTTTATTTTACCTGTCCAATATACGGTTGATTTCTTCGTTTTTTTTTTCTTCTTCTCTCTATTGGTGTTGTGAATTGATTGATCACTATCGATCTCATTTATTAAACGTGGCCAAGGATTGAACCTTCCCACAAAAATTATATTGAAACGAAAATTATCTTTTCTCCTTCGATTGACATCTAATTTATCTATTTAGATCTATCATTGTTGATAAGCACGAATGTCGATAAAAACAATGATGATGGACAACTGCCAGTAACTATATCTAATTTTATTTGTTTACCAGAAGAAGAAGAAGAAGAAGAAATCAAAATGAGAAAAAAACAAGATCCATTATTAACAGACATAGATTATCAAACAGAAACATTAACAAATATTCATAATGATTCAATTGATAATCAACAAACTAATAATGAAAATAGTTCAGTAATAAGAAGTAATCCATTAGATTCGAATTTATTTTCTTCTTCTACTTCTTCATCTACATTAATATCAATATCTTCTCCTTCAACGTCATTCACGAATGAAAGCAATACTATCGAATATTTACCAAAAGAAAAAGAAGAAAAAAAAGAAGAACAACAACATTGTGACGACGTCTACAATGTCGAAGAAGAGAAAAAGAACAACAGTAGCTTCGTACATGACTATCACGCGTCGGGAATAATATTAAGAAACGACGAGCTAAGACAAACAGTCTTATTACAGCAAGAGAAAAAAGAAAAAGAAAAACGAGAGGAAAGAGAACGACCATCATCGTCATTACCAACACTAGAGCAATTCAACAAACAGCGGATAGAAGATGAGTCGCCAATACAAACGCTATCAAACAATTTAAATCAAATGGCAATGGCTAATATTGATCAAAATGAAGAACAATATAAAAAAGTTGAAATAGAAGAAATTCCTGATGATGAAGAAATCTTATCAAAAAAAACAAATAATTCAATCGAACCAACTGATTATATTCTTACTGATGAAGAAACAAAACAACAAAAACAATCTTCACCACAACCAAATATAACAATACCTAATGATGATTCTATAAAATTTGAAAATGTTTTTTCATGTTATGAAAAAGCAATATCTAAAATAATTGATACAAATGATGATTCATCACAAATTTCAAATACATTATCTTCAGAATCATCAACAACAACAACAAATCAACCACCGGCTAATGATCCTATTGCATTACGTGCTCTACAACGTTTTGAAGAACGTATGAATGCTGCTGCTAAAAATATTAAAACAGATACAAATTTAAATGCATCAAAAAGTAAATCATCATGGTCTGGAACACTTTCAACTTCACGAAAATCACTTGAAAATTTATTCAAAAATATTGACCAACAATTAAGTACAACTCCAATTACACTTAATAATGAATCAACAACAGTACTATCATCTCAATCGGATAGTTATATACGACCACGTCAAACATTTGATGACAGTAATTTTAATTATGGTATGGCACTCAATTCATTTAGTACAATAAGTTCAACTATTGATAAGAGTAAAATTGATGATAAAAAAATAGACGAACAACAGCAGTCGTCAACATTAGTAGAAAATGATGACAAACGCGGTAAGTGAATAATAAACAGCTGCTTACATCGACTTTTTTTTGGTTTGTTGGACGAGTATCAATTACACTGTCAAATTGACGAGAAGCGATAACAGAAAGAACAGGATACCTAATCGTTCCAATGGCTTTCGTATTGTTTTTTATTCCCTTTCAGAATGTTGATTAGAGACCTACTACCTCGTTTAGTGATTACATCAATGCAAATTCTTTGAATGTCAAAGAGAAAAAAGAGCACAATAACACAAGATATAAACCTATTTGTACAACATGAAAGAAATGAAAAGAATTCTATAATGAATATATATGTGTTTTTTTTTCTTGTATGTAAACATGTCTTAAAAATTTGTTTATTTTTTTTACATTGTCTTGTTTATTAATCTTTTAATATATAATCAAATCAAGTATTTGAAAATGTTACTAGTTTTCAAGAAAAATGAGAAAGAAAAACCGAAAGGAAGAATTAAGTACGGGTACATAGAGCTTAATGTGACAGAAGAAGTTCATATTTGCTTTGTACGATGTTCGCTTTTTATCGCCGCAATACCAGCAATCAAATGTTTCTCTCCTTATTTCCCTTTCCCCTCCCCCCCCCCCCCCCTTCATCGCTTCTCTATTACAAATAGAAAAGAAGAAAAAAAACTACGCTAAAACCTTTAATCAGTACATTACACAAAATAAAAATGAAAATAATCAATAGAACAAGAACGAATAAATGAGCTCTTTTTTTTTTTCTTTTTTCTCATGATTATCGTTTTGTAAAGTTGTAAAAGGGTATACCTTCAAGGTTGTTTATTTTAGTCACGTACGATTAACATATCTATATAATGTGCAACAGATTTTTTTTTTTGTATGCTTCTGTTTTATTATTCTAGTTGTTGATAACAAGTCAACGAACATTGTTGACTTTAAAGATCAGCAAGAAGAAGGACAACAACAAAGCGCAAATAATGCAACAATGACAAGTGAAATTGATCTCAAAAATGAAAAAGAAAGTTTAAGCTTAATATCTTTACCATCAACTGATAAATCAATAATAAGTAGTCCATTAAATGTAGTCACGACACAATCTTCATTAACAGAAGAACCAGTTATAAAACCATATGGTTTTCAACTTGAAGGCCGTCGTCGTTTAAACGCTCTTGAAGTAATGCGTGAACGTCGTCAAAGTCGTGAATTTCTCGATAAAATGGAATTAGAAAAACAACAGCAGCAACAACAACAACAACAACTTCAAAATGAATATACAATTAAAGCCGAAGAAGTACAAGATCCTATTGTTCGTCGTGCACTTGAACGTTATGATGAAAAAAATCGTAAATTAATTCAAACAAAATCAGTAAATTATGATGATATTCAAGATCCTATTACACGACGTGCATTAATGCGTCTTGAATCAAATTTAAAACGAGTTATGCCACCACCACCACCACCATCAACAACAATAAATGATTCAAATGAAAATTGGTATACAGAAAATTATACACTTGGTTCATTACAACCTACTAATGATCGTTTATCACGTTATAATAATTCATTTCAATCACCAACATTAAATAATCGAACAAAATATATATCTGTACATCAACGTTATTGTACACCATCATCAAATGAAATATCTGATTTATCAACAACAAATAATCTTATGTCATCAAGTGAACATGATTTACCTATAACATATGTACCAACACAATCAATTTATGTTACATCAAATAATCAACAACAAAAACAACCAAGTAATATTCGTCAACGATCACGTTCTGAAGATATGCTTACATCAAGAGATTTAACTATTGGTCAAACAACAAATCTTGATGATGTTGATACATCATCACAATTACAACGTAATCGTTCATCAAATGAAATTGCATTACTTGATTCAGAATTTCATTTACCAAATACATTAATTAAATCTCTTGAACCAAATTTTGTTCGTACAACAGAATCATCTGTTAGTTATGTTACACCAACACAAACATATTCAGCATATAGTTGTGAATATACACGTCCACGTCGAAATCCTTTACTAACATCAACAACATCATCATCATCAGAAACACCACTAGAATTAAAAAATGATTCAAATCAATTATCTTCTTCTTCTTCATATTCTCAACAAGAACAAAATGAAATTCAACGTCCAATACCATATCGACCAACAATTGATAATCAATATGAAACTCAATCTTCATCGGCATTTGCACCTGTTCGTTCATCTACATCAACAACAACAAGTAATTATTATAATCAACAACCAATACCAACTCCTTCATATGGTTCACCATATACATCAAGTACTCTTAATCAAACACCTTATTCAGATGATCCAATGTAAGTTTTAAATAAAAGAAAAATATTCAAATAAAAATTTTTTTATTTTTTATTTTTTTAACATCTTAGTGTTCGTCGAGCAGTTGAACGATTTAATACACAATTACAAAATAGTCTTCTATCAACATCTCAATATCAACCAACAAATAATTATTTATCACATTCAGCAAATATTCAAGAACCATGGTTAAATTCAAATCGTTCAACATTAATGACAACAAGTACAAGTAGTAATAGTAGTAGTACAGCAGGAGGTTATCAATCAATTATTGGACGTCGTCGTTTTACACGTTATGATGATCCAAATAATTTTCTTGATCAATCAAGTGTTGGTGATGCTTATTCATCATCTGTATTTGTTAATCCACAGAATCCATATTTAATGACAAATCATTATATGAATATGTCTGAACAACCTCCTGTTATCCCACCACGTTTACGTCGAATGAATTATCAAAATGAAGATATCAATGATCAATATCGACGTCATTCAATAGATGAATATTTATCAGAAAACATTAATAATAATAATAATAATAACATTAACAATAATAATAATAATAATCATTCACTTCCACAAGAAACATTTATTCATTATGCATATCCAGCAACAATAACAAATACAACAAGTAGTTTTCGTCCTATAAATATGGATTATAATCAACAATATGATTCATCGAATCAATTATCTCAAGAACAAGATGATCTACATCATCGTTCTCAATCAGTATCAAGTACGAATTCAACAGATAGTCTTAAACAACAACAACAACAACAACAACAATTGAGATCAGCAAGACCAACTAATATACGAACATCATTAAATAATCAACAAAAAGTACCACCACCATCTATAGCTGTACGAACAAGTACACAACAAAATGAACGTAAAACAAATGAAAAAAATATATCAAATAAATTATCACCGGTTAATACTCAATCACCATCAGGTATAATCATATTCATTAAAAATAGAAATATCTTCTTTTTTTTTCTCCTTGTAAAACTATAATCAAATTTATTCTATTGTACAGAATATTATTTCAATTAAAATCGTGACTATGTATAATAAGTAGGTTCTAATGAACACTGAATAGGGTTCGAGCTAATAGCTTATCATTGTCAAAGTACTATACATTTTACAAGATTATCGTAATGCCTTTCAAGAATTTTGACTTGAACTTTTGTATAGAGATAGCTCTTTCTGAGAATAGTTTCTTATAAAAGTTTTAAATGTTTTATTACTTCTCTTCTAAGATATGGAGCATGCTATTCTCATCAAAGTTTATTTCTATGCAAAATTTTATGTTGAAATTCAAAAATCAATTGTCTTGAGAGGAACTATGATATTCTGCTAACATATATGATATCTTGGCAATAATAGATAGAGGTGTAAGCCGAAGGGTCAAACAGCAGCGGCAGTTTTAGTCATCAAGTTTTTTTTTCATGGCAGCCACGCCTACTAGACGTAATGTTTTTCTACACCGTCGGTGGCTTTGACAACAAATAAAAAAAGTTTTTGCTCCTAAATGACGGATTGCATATGTATCGATGTCAACGGCGGCGGCTCATCGTGCTATTATCAAAAATTTTCGTTCGTGGCGATGGCTAAAAAATTCTTAAAACTATCTACGATCCCGTGATGGCGACGGCGGTGGCTCAGCTGTACGGCTTACACCTCTAATAATAGGTTATTAGCACGAACTCTCTTCAACTTATTCATAACTCAGTGTAAAACCTACATAATTCCCACGGAAAAGCGATTTGATACTTAGAGACGCTCCGTCATCAGTTATCTTGAAGTTCAAGAATTTCGCCATTGGTAAAATTTTGATCACCTGTTTTATCGATTAGTCTTACTCTACAAAGAAAATTTGAATCAATATTCGAAAGCAGCGAAAAAAATCTGATTTTGACTTGACCTAGTTGTGATTTGTATCATAGATTAATTTTTCTATAAAAAATTTTCACGTCAAGAATTTATAAAACTTATTCTTATATTCTATAAAAATGAATATTAATAATTTTCTAGGTCAAACACCATCTAATAATGGAAATCAACCAAATGATTCTGTCTTTCATCGTCTTGCTTATACAGGTACAAAAGCATCATTATCAAAATCAAATTCAAATTCTTGTTCAAATTTAATAAATAAAAATTCAACAACACAATTAAAATCATGTGAAATTGATTTTGATGATACATTAAATTCAACAGCAACAATAACTGAAAATATTAATGAAGAAAATTCATCATTAGATAATAAATATCAACGTTCAAAATCTGTTGATGGTCGAACAAGAATAAAACTTTCTCAAAGTCGTACAAATCAACAATCAACAATAGATAATGATGAAAATAATAATACAATTCATAATGAACAAGATAAACCAATACCATCATCAAGATTTACTCCTATTAATATACGTCGTGAAGCACCAATAAAACCACCAAATAGAAATAATTTATCATATACAAAAACTACAAATGGTATTCGAACACATGGTTCAAATGGAAATATAATTGATACATATAATCAACAACAAGATATTGAAAATAATGAAAATATATCATTTAATACTGATAATCGAACACGTACAACAATACCTGTTCAACATTATACAACACATAATCATATTCAAACATCATCATCAACATCATCTGTTAATAGTACTCATTCACGACCAAAACCACCGGTATCAATTCCAATTAATCTCGATAGAAAAGATTCGAATACATCAAATACAGATCTTAGCAGGTATTGAAAATTAAAATTATTCAAGAACGTAAATTCATCTTGAGTTATTGCGTTTGAGAATAATGAAAAGATATTAATCACAAGATATTATAGTTAATGTGAAAGAAAAATAAAGAACAACTATACTAGCAATTATGCCTATCATGTCTGTGATATATCTTTGCTGATGTGTCTGTAACATTTATGATAAGCAGTTGCTAATATGTTTGTTACGTCTATTAGTATAGCTATCGAGATTTTTTTTTTCCTCGTATACTTCGGCAGTTTTTTTTTTTATTAGAAAATGTTTTCTAATAAGAATAGAAGAAAATAAACATCATTATTAAATTCGTAAATATACAAAATTTCAAAAAAGTAAAAATCATAGTTTTATAAATAAAGTTTTTTTTTTTTAGATTACATAGAACGATAGAATAAATAATCTTCTACAAAATTAGACATCATTAAGATTGAATGACAGCGCCAGAGGAAAAAAAAAATTTTCTAGGTTTCTTCTAGTCTCAATAGACTCTACTGAATGATTGATGTTTCACCTTAAACATGAATAATTATTTTCAGGTAGTTTTGTTGTGAGAAATAGAAATTTGATTGAAGGTCGAATAATGTTTTGTTAATAGCAAACTGGGCGAAAACAAGCTTAGAGATTGTCGTATGATTACTTTATATTAGCTAAAAAAAATGTCATAAAGAACACAACGACATCTCATTTTGTACAGTATTATTTACTCTATTACCCGATGTAGTATAAACAAAATAATATTTATCCGATCCAGATGTTGAGAAACTAGCCTTTTTAGTACTTACTACAATCGGAAAAAAAGAATAAAAATAAATCTTATTGTATATACAGATGTTCTACTACATAGAGATAGACAATTGAAGTTATTTTAACTTAACCTTGAGTCGAAAACAATCTCTGATTCATAAACAAAGTGACAAATCTATTCTTCTTATGTCAATTATATTTTATCAATAAATACTTGTAAAATCTTGATTTATTTACTTTATCAAAACAAATCAAAGATACAGAATATCAAAAATGCTTAAAGCAAAATAAATGAATATAGACGTGTATCTTATCTTTCTATTTCATACACATCTTTTTTGAATATCTAAAATCGAATAAATCTATTTTAGAACACAAAGACGTTCGGATGATAATCGTTATGTTTCTCCAAATAGCCAACGGCGAAATATTCCCGTTTCTGTTTTTGCACCAGCTAAACTTGATAATAAACGTCCAGCACCTGCACCACCAATATCAAATTTTGAATCTCAAAATCAAACATTTTATACATCTCGTTCATTAACAAATGATAATAATAATAATAATAATTCTACAATGAAAATAAATGAAAATCAAATGAATAAAAAATTATCATCAACAAACTCAGGCATTAAAACACCAACAAATATTGTTATGAATGATTTTACACTTGCAACCGATAAACAAGATAATAATAAAAAGATGAACGTATTTGAACGACTTTTTCGTGGTAATAAGAAAAAAAATTAATTCAATATCATTTGTAGATATTCTTATTATAAAACATATATATATATATATTCATCTATGAGAATGACTCTTGAAGTTTTTTCATTTACGACACGTTTACACTATTTTTTACCGGTTGGAACAAATGAAAATCTTTACCTAACGAAAAAGATCAATATTATTTATTCACAACAAGAATCTGTTTGTTTATGTCTTTTTTTTTTCTTCTTTTTGCTTTTCGTTAACAAACAGTTTCTATGTTCTTCTTATATCATTTAATATAATATCCCCTTTCGTTTTTTTTTTTTTGCTTAACATTTTCTTTGCATTCATATCGAAGATATTCTGTTTCTTCTGACGTTCAGTTCATTTTTTTTTCTCTCTCTCTCTCGTTGTGTTATTTTTATATATGTTGATCAAAAGATACTCATCTTTTTTGCCTGAAACTTAGATTAAATAATAATAAGGATGGAACAGATAGTGCTTTATTATGCTAACCATTGTTCTTTTTTTTTTAAATATAGATTTTAAAGTAAAAAAAAAACCAATACTTGTTATTGATTGTCAAGTATTCAAATACTTATGACTAGATTTTCAAGGAGCGAAACTATCAAAAAAAAAAAACTCAAGACTTTAGTGTAAACATGTAACTATGTTTTTGTTTACGTTAGACAATTATCATATTGAATTTTGTTTTTTTTTCAAACGAAGAACAACAAACTTTTATCAATGTCCAAATCAATATTTTTTTGAATAAATTTTGATAGAAACAAAGAAAGAGATCTGCGATTGTCACTATTGAAAAGAATAAAATATTTTTTATTAAAATTTGATTGATGAGTTGTCGATGAACGGATTTTCAAAACAATATTCTGAAGCAATTTCTTAGTGAATTTTGATTGACACTGTAACTTTTTTTCAATCTATTCAAGGTCGAGCTTTACAGTTTGTTTCATTTAGAAATTATAAGAGTTTTTTTTGGAACTCCTGGTTTCGGTTTAATGATCTTGAAGCACTCCGAAAGAGGTAGTTTACCATGCTGAGACGGAAAATGCTAGTATAACGACTTAAAACCAACGTTATCACTAGATTCAGCATGGTTAATTTTGTCCTTAGTAACTTGTTTGAAGGTCTTAGAAAAACGTTATTAACTTTTGAACGAAGCAAATAGTAGATCTCGACCTTGTATATATCGAAAGATAACAATATTCTCTACTGAATAGTCATTTGAAGAATTAAAATTCCACAGGAAATAGCTTAAAAATCTTCATTGACAAGTGATTCATCAAAAAAGAAAATTAGACGAAACGAAAATTGAAATGTTTGTTTACTACGACCATCATGATAGTTTTTTTATGTAGTCTTTCTTTTTATTCGTTCCCAATGTTTTATATTGACTTGAACCATTTAAAATGTTATTTTTTGTTAGAAAATCTAATGCATCGATCGAAAAAACAAAAGACCTTGATTTATTAATCAAAATCATAAACATATCTCGATAAACTTGCGTTATAAACATACAAAACACTTAATATCATAGACTATTTATTACGTCAAAATAAAAACTATAAGATAAGAACAAAGAAATTTGTTTTAGAGAACCTAATTTTTTTTTTTTATGTTGATAAAGTATGCGCGACTAAAATAATAAATCTTTTTATAACAAGTTTCAATATTGATTGATATATTATCGAGACAAGATAAAAGTCATAATCCATTACTTTGACATATACTAAAATGAAGTACTTTTGTTATATTTTATTGACAAATTCTGATTTTGATAGATTAAAATTATAGATACAGACATATGATGTTGATTTAAGTCAAGTGTGAAGTAAAATTATATTGTCTAGTAAAGATATAGTTTAATATATTTAGATTAATTCGTTATTCTTCAATATTAATATTAATCTATAATTACATATGTTTGAAATTCTTATAGATAATATTTATTTAAACCTTAGAAAAGTCACATTTTTTTTTTGTTGTTGTTATATGAATGAATCATCAATAAAAAAATGTGGATGTTGATGTCATTGTTTCTATTTCTTTTTTTTGCTTTATTTCAAGGTAAAATAAATTGTTATTACACAACTGTATGAAATAATGTCAGCTGCTACCTTTTAATCATATGAATATAAAATCTTGAATATTAATACTAAGGAAATAGATAATTTCGAAAAAGAAAAATTCTTAGTATAATGGTCCTGCTAATAGAAACAGAGTTATTGTTTTAGTTATCAAAAATTTTTCCTTTGTCTTTTGCTTATAGAAGGAAAATAGTTTTAGAAAAAAAGAAAATATTTCTATTATTAAATACATTTTCAGATGTCTCATAGTAAACGCAAAGCGGATGTTATTGAACCTGAAGTCGAGAAAGATGAATTAACAAAAGAAAAACGTTCAAAAATTGATTCAACAACAAATGATTTTCTTCGTTTAAATGATACAAATTTTATTGAAACTGATTATCAAATTGTATTTCAAACAATTGCTGATAAATTAATAAATTCATATGAATTAGTTCTAAATGAACAACATTTTTTTCGTTTATCAGAAATAGAATTTTATTTTTATCATCATATTCGTCATCCTGATACATTTGCTCATCGTCATCCTGAACAACAATATCATTCAAATTGGTATTTTCATCGACAAGGTACATCACCAACAGCTAGTTATAAAGCTGGAACTTATAAGTAAAAACATAATACAACAAAAACAAAAAAAATTTTTTTTGTTTTTGCTTCTAGAGGTTTAGATTTAACATTTAATTCTTTAAATGATTTATCATATGGTGGTATACTTATTCGATCAATAGAAAATAAACAAACAGGACAAATCTATGAAGGAAGTTGTTTAGTTGTTGATGGTATATTAAATTTATGTAATAGTAAAACAATAAATGAACTTGTTGAAAATAAATTAAATAAAAATTTAAATATATTTAATAAAAATTCATTTATTTATTTACGTACAATATCAATAATAACAAATCAAAAACTTATTTCATCACCACGTGTTGGTTTAACATTAAAAAATCCATCAATTGATCGTGAACGTTTTTTATTTCGTTCATATCGTTTTACACCAAATGATTATTATCCAACAAAAATGAAATTTATGATTTTATTATCATTAGCAGGTGAAAAATTTTTTCAAAATAAAAATAAAAAATTTATTGATTATGCTAAAGATTTATCTATTGAAACAAATATACGTTTATCAACAGTAATGAATAATTTAAATGAATTACAAAATGGTTATGATACAAATATATCAAATAAAACATCACCATTAGTTGATTATTATAAAAAAACTTTTAAAACATCTGATTTAATTAAAGCTTATGGAATTTGGTTACGAAATTATCGATAGAATTAAAATAACGTTTTTCTTTTATTTGTTGGATAGAAATTTTGTTATATAAAATATATGTTTGTTTTTTTTTTCTAATTTTATTGAAACATTAATATTGAAAAGAAGTAACAAAATATCATTGACCTTTCTTTTATAATTCTATTTTAAATGAAATATTTCATTTGAGTACCTATTATTTATCAAGTCATTTTTGATTGGTCGTTTTCTTCTTCGGGAAAAAATTGCTAAATAATTACTCATTAACTTTTAACTATTGCATGCATATTTGTAGCGATATTTTTATTTTAAGAGTCGTGAATAAGACACCCTTTAATCAGTTATTTTTATTACAAAAAACAAAAAAAAAAAAAAGAAATACTACGATGATTTGCACTAAGTGGTCACAATCACATGGTAGCTAATGCGCATACATAAATTGATTTTTATATGCATATAATCAAAACGAATTGCTATTTTTTCTTATGCATTTCAATGTATCATGGTCTATTCTTTTTTTTTTTTATTCTCGATGACATATTTTTCGTTATTACTGTCAATCAAACGCGATTTCGTATTTAAATTACATATATTCATGACAGTTTCAATGTGTTTACTAGTGAATGTGAATATATATATATATACTAATCCGACGTGATGTGAGCAGGGCTTTTATAAGAGCCGAAAAAAGAAATAGATATTATAACAACAAGACGAATTGTTTTTAAGTACATATCTACACAATCAGTTACTCATTCAACAGGTTTGACGTTGTTATTTTTTTTTTGCGTTGATTTTTATAAAACCAAGGATTATTATAAATGTTGTAGAAAAAAAAAGAAAATAAGTACGATTGTTAATTAACTTAATACAGTGTGGAAAAGAGTACATTTGAAAATCAGACAATCACAACAGCTGTTACTTCTTTTTTTTTTCATAGAAATGACCTAGATGATGTGTACATACATGATGTACGAAACAAACATTCTACTATATATATATATAGATATGCATGTTTATCAGCATCGAGGTAGTCAAAAAACAAGTCTGTGCTTGTTATATGGGTATAATAGCCGGAAGTGAAGTAAATAGGAGACAGAAATAATAGAAAAAATGATGATGCATGACTCATGACGACTACTATTACGGTCGTAATGGCTTGGCACCCAGCCATCAGCTGTCTCTTCCGTTTTATCGTATCTTTTCTTTTTTTTTCTTCTTCTCCTCGTTATTTCAGTTTTTTTTTTCTTCTTGCTTATTAACAAATATTTATTTTGATAAAAATACAACGAATGAAGTATGTTTGCTCATATATATATATATATATATATGCCTTTTTTTCTTTTTATTACACGTATTTACTAAAGATTGTTAACATTACATAACTTATTTGATCATCTGTTGTTATTATTGGTATTTGTTCTCGGCATCTACATATATTTTTTTCCATTCTACGCAGTTCTATTACGGTTATTTTTTTCTTTTTTTTTGCTGGCGTTGTTCTCGATGACCCAAATGTAATTATGCAAGCATGTCATCTTCCTTTTCCCCGTCTTTTCTTCACTTTGAAAAACGACAATTATAGCAGACTTTCTCGACGTCGAGTTCGACCATAAGGTCGCATAGCAAAGAAGACACAAGATGCAGTGCTTATGCACACGCAA